TGATATAGATGCCCCATTTATGGCTGAGCACTCAAAAGTCACTTGTCCTCAGCACTCTGCGTTAACTGCTGCCCAGCAGTGAGTTGTACAGCATTTTCATCACCCCAGTAAAAAGCTGTATGACTTGAAGTCAGTCCCCTGCACCCACCCCCCCTGCCCCTGTAGCCCCTCTCCCAGCCCTTGGCAACCATCCTTCCTTGATTTCTGAACATTTCGTAGATAGGATCACACAGTCTGTGATCTTTCCTGACTTGTTCTTTTACTAAGAATTTCCAAGCCCATCGGGCCATATCACAGGGCAACAGTTGGTTTCATTTTGTTTCTACTACAGATAGCTTTTATGAGAAAAAAAAAACAAAAAAACAAAAAACCAACCCCCCCCAAAAAAAACAAAAATAACAATCAAACATTGTGAAATTTAAAGCATTTCTCTATCATGAAAATGGCTTATTTTTACAACAATAATCAGCAGACATATTTACCTGCAAGCTCTTGTCCCTCCTTTTGGTGAGGCTGAACCTTTGGGGAAGGGAACAGGTTTCCCTCATTTTTCCTAACTTTTGGGTCATCCTCTTCAAACTGGAGCCAACACCCAGAGCTCCCCAGGCTGCAGAGGCTGGTTGTCAGGCAGAATATGCTTGACATATTCTAGATGTGCATGGGATTTTGAGAGGCCAGGATTCCTCTCTTTGTCCTGCCAACTCTCCAGTGTCTGGCCATGCAGGAGTGTTGCAGCCCTCTGAGAACCTGATGAGAGACACAAACAGCATCTACTCTCTAGACACTGTAAGGCCCACTTTCTCACTCAGAAAGGATGCCCTGCCCAACCTTGTGCACACTTTGCCTTTTTTCTTTAAAATCTATTTTTTATTCAGTGATAATTTTTGTTTACAGCACAGTGTTTTTTTTGGAACTCCCCGGGTCATTTTGCCCAAAACAGAGTGTTTGAGGCCAGCCTGGGGTACATGAGACTCTGTCTCAAAAAATTCTACTTACACTATGTATTTATTATGTGTGCATATGCACATGTATGTGTGCCACGATGTGCGTGTTAAAGTCAGAGGACAACTTGTGGGCATCAGTTCTCTCCTTCTACCATGGGAGTCCTTGGGATTGAACTTAGGTCGTCAGGCTTGCTGGCAAGCACCTCTACCTGCTGAGCCATCTTGCTGGTTCACCATCCATTCCCAGAACTTTCTTCATCTTGTACAGCTAAAACTGTACCCATTAAACACTGACCCCCATTCCTGCTCCTCTCCTGTCTGTAAACCATCCAACTGTATGTAGTGAACCTCAAAGTTGAACCCAGGTTTTTGGGTTCCATGAGGACCCACCTGGGGTAGGGACTGCAGAATGCTGCCCACAGTGCTATCTGCAGACAGATGATGACTTCTGAGGGAAGTTTCAGCCCTGGTGTGGCCACTTGCCTTTGAGGTGCATACCCCCTTCCTTCGCCAGATGTCATCTGTCTGGGTGACTGGAAAGAAGGCCCTTTCTAAAGCTTTTTCTACATATACCATTTGTTGACTAAACACCTGTTAGCTGGCAGGAAACAACCCTAACTGCAGTCAGGTGTTCGTTTCTTCTTAGCATGGTTTGGCTAAGAGCCATTCCACACATACGCATTGGCATGTGGGTCTCTAAGACTCTGCCCTGAGTGCCAGGTTTATTCATAGGGAGACAGAGACACCTCTGCCCCAGTCCAGCCTCTCCTGAACTTTGTACTTCCAGGATGAAAAATTAACTGGGCTAATGTTTCCCTTCCAAGGACAAGGGCAACTTCTGCAAGACAGGCCTGGCTGGGCTCCACGTGACCAGGCACCATATGGAGTTGTATCTAGTCCTGGGCCACCCACCCATTCACTGCCCAAAACAGAGATGCCATGTAGGGTCCCTTCAGCAGAGATAGGAGTCTGTTCTTCCCCTTCCTCAGGGCTTTGTGAAAATAGCCTTATGTGCCCAAACCTACCTTCTCATAGAGAGGTCGTGGGCTGAGGAGAAAGTCCCAAAATGGCAGTTCCAGATCTGCACGTGGGTCCAGAAGTTTTCCTGCAAGCCAGGTGGTCCCTGTTACACAGAGGCTGGCACGGGAGGGAAATTCAGGAAAGCATGGTTCACTCACACTGAATGGCAGGCTGACTAGTTATTTTCCTCCCTTAAGGAAAATGAGGGAGTTGACTGAGGATCTTTTCCAAGCTGTGATTTTTAAGGGTCGGGTACATACCAGACCCTTCCACACAACTACATCGCAATTAAAACACTGTCTCTCTGACTCTGTTTTTCTCTGGCTCCTTACCTCCCTGGTACAAATGGTTTCCCTTAAACATGACTTCCTATGTGGATGAAGGTCTTGCCCTAGAGAATGAATCTAATGCTTTTAGCACTTTCCAAATTCACCAGCTGAGAGACTGGATGCTGTGAAGGTAAAGGAGGCGAAGAGCCAACACTTGAAGCCAGGTGGATCACAAATGAAACCTGTACTCCTTGCACTTGACCTGGCAGCCTTACCAGGTTGGACTATGCAGCTTGCATTAAAATTAACCTTGCATTGAAGACAATGACTACATAGGTCCCCCCTCTTTTTTAAAAACCCTTCTTTGCCTTCCCTTAGTGCTTGGGCTGTGAGCTCTTGTGATGTCTTTCATTGTGGAGTTTCACAGCAACAAGTAGAATATCTGTGATATGGAAGTGCTGGAGAGGTTCAGGGTCTGACTGGATGCAGCAGCACCCCCCCCCATGCATGGCATCAGCCCAGGGCCCCCAGAGTGTTGTTCTGTTCTTCTCTTGTACTGGACTGCTACAAAGTCCTGAAGCCACTCAAGGAGGCCAAGAGGAAAAGGTTCTGCAGCTCTATTTTACAGTTGAGTAAATTTTTGTTGTAGTGTCACAATCGTGCACATGTATAGTTTTCTTGTTTTGCAAAGAGTTTTCTCAATGATGTCATCACTGGCCCAGTGGCAAGATCATGGACTAAGTCCCCCAAAACAGGGACACTGGAGATAGCTCAGTGGTTAAGAGCACTGGTTGTTCTTGCAGAGGACCTGGGTTCCATTCCCTGTACCCATAGGTGGCTAACCACCATCTGTTATTCTAGTTCCAGGGGATCTGATGCCTTCTTCCGGACTCTGAGAGCACTGCATGACACCAGTGCACTTACATAGATGCAGGCAAAACACTCATACACATAAAAATAAAAAGATCAAAACCAACCCGCCAACAAAGAACACCTGGGTTCAAGTCCTAGCTGTGTCCCTTGGGTTCTGCCTCACCTGCAAATGTAGGGCAGAAGGACAGGGACTTCAAGGGCAGCATCAGATTGTCTGGAATGAAGATAGCAATTAATACCCAGTGACACTTCCCTGTTTTTTGCTGAGGGCTTGGAAGCCCAGAGAAGGGAAGGCTGCAGCCACTGCTGTCTAACAAGAGAGCTGGAACCCGCATATGAAACTCCTTTTAGGGCCTGGCATCAAGGAGGAGGGAGAGGCTGCGTGTAGCCCCTGACAGCTTGGTGTGTGTGTGTGGGGGGGGGGGTGTGTGACCGGGGCCCCTGTAGCTTCAGGGCAGACCTTGTGGATTCAGCCACACCTCACAAGGCTTTACACCTCCTACCGCTCTCGGTTTGCAGATAACTTCTTTGTCGCCACGGGGGTTTCCTGCTGCTAAATACAAACAAAGCCTGAGCTAGTGGGCTAGCCCGCTGGGGAGGTGGCAGCAGGAGAAAGGCCTGCGATGACGTCCCAAAGCTTCGGAGGGGCCGTGGGCAGCCAACCCTGAATTGTGCTGGTGCGTGTAAGGGAAGCCCCAAGGCTACCCAGTGTCAGATTCTCTTGGCTTCCCATCTAGGCTAACTTTGAAGAGTAAACGTCCCCAATCTCCTCCTCTTGATCCACTGTGCGTGTACGTGTGCGTGCGAGTGTGTGTGCGTTTTCACTGCTTTGCAAACAAAGCTCTTATTGGTTTGTCGAATTTCAGATTCTTCTCATCCTGAGATTTCGTGACACCCTGTAATATTAACCCCTCCCCGCCAAGATAAATTCTAAAGCGCCCCCACTCATTCCTTCAGGAACTCAACAGATGTCTTTGAGGGCCGTTTTTCTGCCAAGTGCTTGGCTCACAAGGCCCAAGAGACCCCTGGCTCCAGCTATTGTTCAAGTTGTCACCGGGATCACCTCTCCCCCTTCTCAACTCCCTCTTCCGCACAGTCTCGGGGCAGTTAGCAGAAAAACAACAACAACAACAACAACAACAACAACAACAACAACAAAAACCAAAAACCAAACAACCCAACCCTAGCCTCTGAGATCAGCGAGCCCCAACTTCCTGGGGCTGGAGCTTTCCTGCGTCCCTTAACTCTCCCGGGTCCCCACCGAGGTGCAGCTATCCCTCGGCGGACCACGACTGTTGTTGGGAGTCTAACTCTCTCGGTCCCTGCAACTCCATCTGGGCTTCTCGGGTACCCCCTCGCCGCCGGGTTCCCAGGACTTCCTCCCTGCGTCCTCAGGTCCCGGACGCTGCACAGGGGCGACAGCGGTGCCCGGTAGCCCACGTGGGCGTGCTCGTTGGCATGGGGCGGGGAAAGCCGGGCGGTCGTGTGTGTATGTGTGTGTGTGTGTGTGTGTGTGTGTGTGTGTGTGTCCCGCTCCACCCCAGAGCCGGGGAAGGAGGCCGCTGGGCGCCGGGGAGGAGTGAGGAGTCCGGGCGGAGAGGGGGCGGTGACAGCCCCGGGAAGCAGGCTGCACGCAGATTTGCATGAAACTTCTAGACAGGGAGCCGGCGGGAGCCGAGCGGCTGAGCGGTTGCACAGCCCGGGCTGGCCCAGCGAGGTGGCGATCGCGGAGGGGGAGGGGGAGGAGGGGGGAAAGGAGAAGGAGCAGCAGCAGCGGCAGGAGGAGGAGCAGGAGGAGAGGAGGAGCAGCAGAGGAGGAGAAGCGGGAGGAGTAGGAGGAGGAGCAGCAGGAGGAGGAGGAACAGGGGGAGGGCTGCAGAGGGGGAGGGCTGCAGAGGCGGAGGGATCTGCGCATCAAAGCGAGCCAGGCGAGCAAAGTTTGGCTGGGGGTTGGACTTTTCCTTCCCGGAGGCGGCACCGAAACAGCTACCCCGTGCGGAAACCCAAACTTTCTACAGCCACTCGGAGCCTCGCGGCCGCCGCCTTCGCCCCGCGCGTGCCCGGGGCCTGCCAGTCTGTCTGTCCGTCCGTCCGTCCTCGTGGGAGCAGCTCGGGCGCCGCGGCGCTCGGGATCCCCGCAGCTGCAGTGCCTCAGTGCCTGGGCAAGTTCTCCGAGAGTTAGACTCGAAGTTCGAGGCGGCGCGGGCCGAGCTCCCCTGTGCGCCCCCGGCGTCCCCGCCAGGCCCAGCCCCGCCGGGGGCGCCGGTGGCTCTCGCGTACCAGCCATGTCGTCCATCCTGCCCTTCACCCCCCCGATCGTGAAGCGCCTGCTGGGCTGGAAGAAGGGCGAGCAGAACGGGCAGGAGGAGAAGTGGTGCGAGAAGGCGGTCAAGAGCTTGGTGAAGAAGCTGAAGAAGACGGGGCAGCTGGACGAGCTGGAAAAGGCCATCACCACACAGAACGTCAACACCAAGTGCATCACCATCCCCAGGTGGGGGGCCTGGAGCAGCGGGGGGCGCGCCGGTCCGGCCCCCTGCGCGGCGGGGGTGGAGAGGGAGGCCGGCTGCATGTGTGTGCGCGCGCGCGTGGAGGGGGCAAGGAGAGGGTGGGGGCGACCCCAAACAAAACCTTCTTCGGATTTGCCCCGGCTCAGAGCCCGGCCTTCCACGAGGCACCCCGGCTTCCAGTTCCCAGGATCACACGCCGCCTTTGGGCAGTGTGGGTGCTTCTGAGGTTGGCCCCCCAACTCCTGGAGCTTTGGGCTCCTAGGGGAGGCCCGCTTTGTTCAGCTCTGCGGGCCGAGCCCCTCCTCCGCCGCCGCCTCCCGCCCCGCGCTCGTGGAGGTGGTGGCGTGTGTCCTTTTCTTTGCTTTGGTCCGGTTCCCCCACTTCTTTTCTCCTCTGCAGGAATGCAGTCGGTACAGCTGGGGCTGTGGGTGAGGAGCAGGAGCCCCCGGTGATTGACAGGTTCCTTCTTCGCTCTTTCTTTGCCTTCGGGATTAGCATTTTTACTGAGTATTTTTAGATTTGGTTGTGCCAGTCTCCCGCCCCCTGTGCACGCATGCACGCACGCACTTAGTTGCAGAGCAAAGCTCTGACTTGGAAGCTGAAGAAACAAGTGGCAGAAAGTCGGGACTTCTTAAGGCCCTCCCACCTCCAGTTGGTTTTGCCTTCTTTTCAGTTGAAGAGTTTGGGGGTGCCTGGAACGGAGCCGGCAGCTCCAGACAGATAACAAAACACCCCAGAGCGGGCCTCCCTTTGGCCCTGCATTCCTGTAGAGCCCTCCTTCCCAAAGCGCTTTGCCATCTGTCCTGACCTCCTTTATCCTTCCCATCGGGCTAGCGGAGTCTGGCTGGAGCTCACAGATGGCTGATGGAAGGGGTCAGTGAATTCACTCCCAGAGCCTTCCAGAGCTTAGTCACCCCTGGGAAATGGGGTGGGAGCACTTTGGCCTTCTGTCTGTACTTCAGCCCCTTTAAAAGGCTGGTTGCTAAAGGGGGGTGGGAAGGTGATGAGAGAGAGGGCAAGAGAAGGTGAGGATGTTTTGGGGGTCCCAGGCTGCAAAGAAATAGATGGCTCCCAGGGACCAGGATGGCAGGGCTCCTCCTCCTCCTCTTCCTGGGCCAGGGGTGGCTCTGTCCTTGGCCACCTGCTCCAGGCAGCTGTGCAAGGATTGCCAGTTATGTCACAGTGGCACAAAGCAACATCTGTCCATGGGAACCCAAGACTGGTCTTCCCTGGATATAAATGCCACATATGTTGGGAATGCTGACTTACAATATTGTTAAAAACAACACCCTCCCCCCAAACCTGGGTAGGTGGATCCCAATGATAAAAGGGAGAGGGAAGATGGTGTGCTGTCTGGAAAATGCAGTTTGGGCCTGTGATGCCCAGTCAGCCAACTTCAGGGGAGCTGGTATGTTGTGATGGTCAGAAGACCTGGGTTTTGGTCCCAGGTTTCTTCTTCATTCTCTTTTTCTTTTGGTGGCGGTTGGGGAGGCAAGAATGGGTGAATTTCATAGCTCTCTGTCTGAAAAGGGATCTGGAAAAGTGGTGGCCTTCTTCCAATCTGCTTGGGTGCACTAAGGTCAAGTACCTTATGCATTGAATAAAAAAAAAGTATCAATTATGAAACAAGCAGTTGGGCAAAATGTTTCACAATGTACAAAGCACTTTCCTATGGCTTGATGAAATCCACTAAGAAAGAGAGGAAAACTGACCCCTGGAGAAGAGGAAAGGCAGTTAGGTCTAAGGTGATCTGGCTCTTAAACTTGAGAAAACTTTGGAGAAGAGAATAAACAGCCGCATGTGGTTAGACTTAAGATTGGACACAACATATTACTCCCCAGGCTACTCTAAACAGAGCACTAAAGCATCGTTAGCCGGGGTGGGCCGTGAATCTCTGCCGAAAAGGCGATTCTTGCTTGAATTTTGGGCTGCTTGGAGGAGAGGCCTTGCCCCTTCTTGCCTAAGTTTGCCTCCTGAGGAAGCGATTTGACCTAACCTTTTCTTCATAACCCTCCCCCTGTTCAAGGCAAACACTGGTAATGCTTTTGAGAGTTGAAGCTAACCTGCCAGGTAACCTTCCCAGGACTTCCTTAGGACTAGGCATCTTCTACTCATCAGGAGAAAATGCAATATCAAAGCAGGGTTTTTGGGTTTTGGTGGTACTGAGGACAGAACCAAGGGCCTCCTCTATATGTTAGGGACTCACTCTGCCACTGAGCTACCACCGCCAGCCCTGAGATTGTTTTCTTTCTTCTTTTCCCAATTAGAGAGACCCAGTTGCTTGGGTGGATCCAGACAAGGTGGATTTCCATCCTTGGATTTTGTGCCCGCACCTCTGGGTCACCTTGTCTCTCTTGGCAACAGATCCTACTGTTTGGTCATGGGCAGAAAGCTAAAGGCCATGTCTCGGTGAGGCGGCTAGCTGGCCTCCTGCTAGTGATATCCATGTGTCTGCTAAGCCCCAGGGTTGCTGTGTTACTTGTCACACTGCTCTCTTCATGCTGCCTTTGAGAACTAGGGCTTTCTTTGGAAAGCAGACAAAGGAAGGAGTGTGACAGTCATTCGCTGTGTGTGGGGTGGGAGGCCTGGCGCTTCACTGGGCGCCTCTACATTCTGCCAGATCTGGATCTGGGCTTTGAGGACCCTCATTCTGAGATGTGTAATCACCATCCTGAGCAGCAGTTGGTACCATTTGGCAGTGGTAGCTGCCTGCCACGTGCTGGCCTATCTGTTCTTCCGGCTCTAGCCTGTTGTGGTGAGGAATGCTGGAGTGAACAGGCTTAGAGCCACAGAGAAGGGCACAACCAAAGTGCAGGAGCTTGACTCCACAAAGGGGTGGGGGTCACTCAGATCTGGCGTGGGGGCAGTGCAGGGGGTACAGTTAAGGCAAGTTTTATGGCTGCATCTGCCCATGCCCACTGCTTGAGCACCTGAGAGAAGCCACAGGTGTGTCCCCCTCTTCAGTTCCTAAGACACCACTTTCCTCAGAGAAGTGTAAGGAATAAGAAGCATACCTCAACCTCCTTTCTTATGGGCACCCCCAAACTGTGCTCCCATCAGTGGGGTCCATACCTCTGCCAGTTGTTAGGAGCTGAACTAAGCTGAGGACATTGTTTGGAAGAGAACTTGGACTTTCTTGAAAATGGGAGATGCCAACTAAGCAGCAGGTCTGTGAAACTGGGTATCTCCTCCTTCTCTGTACATTCTTTTTGTAGCATGATCTCCTCCTGTGGCCTCCAGGAACTTTGCCAGGTAACCCTCAACTGGGGGAGAGAGGACAAATATCCTCACCTATAACACTGCTTTCTTGGGCTTCTGGGGACCGAGCAAACACCAAGGCCCTATAGGGTCTCAGCATCCTGGGCCTCCCACTGGTGTGAATCATCAGCAGTAAGCCTACTTCCAGAGGCCAGTGAGGCAGCCCATCAGGAAAGGGGCTACAGGACAACGGGTGACTGACTAAGGAGCTGACTCAGTTGCCACTGAGCTAGGAGCCACCTGATGTTTTCTGGGTGGACAGAGAACCTTGACCTTTGCTACTTAATTGTAGGGGCTGACGGTCTGGGCCCATATACATAATCTCAGACAGCCCCTTGCTCCCAGTTTTTATCAGATGTTATAGGGTTGCTTTTTGTGGATTCAATGATATTAATCAGACTCCTGCAATCTCCAAGTCAAAGTTACTTGCCCTCGGTAAGGATGCTTAGATATATTGGAGATGATCCTCGCCTGTGGGGGACTTATATTGTGGTAAGGGAAAGATTAGTAGGGAATTATTTGGGATTGAGTTGTTTCTCTTGTATTCCTAACAGTCATAAGAAATGAAAGATCCAGTATTGAGGAATTGTGTGTGTGTGTGTGTGTGTGTGTGTGTGTGTGTGTGTGTGTATGTGTTCATGCATGCTGTGGCACACATACAACGTCAGAGGACAAAACCTTGTTGGTTCTCTCCTTCTACCATGTGGGCCCCAGGGCCTGAACAGCAAGCACCTTTACCCACTAAGCCATCTCACCCACCCCACCCCAACTCTCTGAACCTACCATTTTACTATGGGGATGGATTTGGAACTTCATGTTTCAAAGCCCTGCCTGCACCTGTACAATCAGGATGAGATTAAGGTCTTGGGAGTGTTTGTAAACATACTGGAGAGATGTGTGCTTCCCCTTCTGTCCTTATCCCTCAGTCATGATGGGACTTATTCAATCACTTATCAAGTCCCTTCCATAGTGACAGAGGCCAGGTGCCTGCATTCTAGGATCAACATTCCTGTCTCAAGGTATAGGACATGAGGAAAGCACACAGTGCTTTGTGGTAGGAGGGCACAGTTCATCTGTGGGGGCAGGGGTGTGTGTGCATGTATAGTTGATGTGTGCCAGGAAACTGAGATGGGATAGATGGTTTGAGGGGAGTTTTTGAATTGCAGTGTGCTTATAAGAATTTGGTCTTTTCTTTATTATTACTGTATATTGACTGTACAAAATGGATTTCATTATGATGTTTTCAAACACAATCCGTATATCTTGTACTTTGCCTATATTTGCTTCCCATTGCCCTATCTGATCTCCCCTCCCCCACTGGTCTCCTCATAGTTCTCCTTCTGCTTTCATATCCTACAAATACATATAGTCATGCAGTGCCCATGGATGTCAGAAGAGGGTGTCGGAGCCCCTGGAACTGGAGTTATGGACAGTTGTTAGTCACCATGTGGGTGCTGGGAAATGAACCTGGGTCCTATACAAGAGTAGCCAGTGCTCTTAACTGCTTAGCCATCTCTCCAGCCCCTGATTTCACATTAATACTGTCACCTCCAGTTCTATCATTTTCCTTGAAATTGCTTCATTTTGTTGTTCTTTCCTGGGAATGTGGAACCTGAGGAGAGTTGTCTGTAAGAATGCCACTTTTTATCTTTTGCCATACCAATGGAGGGCCACCATGGATATCTTACCACATATCACTTGCACAAAAGGGCTCCTGAGCTGGGTA